CTACTATATCTAAGTCTTCCTCTGAAGTTGAGTACAGGGCTATGGTATCTACAGTTTGTGAAATTATTTGGCTCACACAACTTCTTACTAATCTTGGTTTTTCTCATCTAGCTCCTATCACATTGCATTGCGATAGTCAGGCTGCCTATCACATTGATTCTAATCCCATGTTTTATGAGCGTACGAAATATATTGACATTGATTATCACATTGTTCGTGAGAAGCTAAAGGATGGGTTGATCAAGACTGCCTACATTCCTAGTTCTAAACAGCCAGCTGATCTCCTTACAAAGGCCCTTGGCAGCAAATCTCATCACCATCTCTTGCACAAGTTGGGAGTTCTTGACCTCTTTCACCCACCAACTTGAGGGGGGTGTTGAATATATGTATATACTGTACATATATAGTTATTTTTGTACAGAGTTAATTGTGAGTTAGTTGGGTTAGATAGTTAGATGGTTGATTAGTTAACTAGGTTGATTAGTTAACTACACTTTTGTATTAGCTGCTACAGTACAAAAGATAGGATACAATTGTAATACACTATGATCGAATGAATGAGAAATATAACTTTTTCCCCAATTTCTCTGTTTTCTCCGGTTCATCAGATTACACAGGCTAATGCTAGTAATGAAAACAATGCATTTATTTCTATCGAAATGGAAGCAGCGTCTAATTTAAGCCGGCAACAGAGTGAATAGACGTTGATTAGAGACATAAATAGTCGGTTTCACACTGGACAGAAAGCAATTGACCAATTTGGAAAATTTTGTTGCCCCACCTATGACCAATTCAATTACAACTAGTATCTATTCACCAGTTTTTGATTACTGCAACGGAGTTATCGCATCTAAATCTGTCTACATCAACTTGCCATCAACGTTCTGTTTTCATTACTTGCTAGGTTCTACTTAAAACAAAATAAATGGCGCCTTTTCTTTGGCTTCTTGAACAGAGACATTTGGTTAAACAAATAGTTGGGTGCCTTTCATCATTGTTTGTTTAAGTTTCTTGTTGTGTGCAGCATTAAGCTTATATGTATAAATACTAACAGATGAAATAACTGAACAAAGAGGCAACATTTATGTCCAACAGATTGAGGACAAGAGGTGAAAGTGTTGGGATGGTTTTGGATTACAGTACAAATTCTTTCTGCTTGTCATGTTCCTTCTTTGAAATAGCTATATTCAAAATGAAATATTTAACTTTTCTCACTAACACTTGGTGAAAGAATTTGAGTTACCCCTTGTATGTATCACTTAAATGGCACTGTATCTGTCTGTATCCTGTTGATCAATCATTAGTTAACAGTTTCATGAGAATCTCTTCCTCAGAGTCGGCAAGATTCGCCTACAGATGAAGTCACCTTCATGCAAGCAGAAGAGCATTGTATTTTTAAATTCTAAGTAGTTATAAATAACATGTTTTCATATCTTGTATTTGAACCATTTTATATACAGTGCTTTGCCTAAGCTTGTAATAATCTGAACATTATTAGAAATCTGCAGAGGCACCCAAGGAGCCTAGCCAGGAGCTATGGTACCTTCTTATTATCATTTTATGTATGTCTCCCTTTTTCTTTTTTTCCAAATTTATTCCAAATAAATTTCTTATTTCTTTGCAGGAGACACCTGAGCACATTGAAGGAAAGGTGGACTGGAAGGGAAGACAAGCTCTCAAGTATAAACATGGGGGAAGAAAAACTTCTTTGCTCATACTAGGTAGATAACTCTACCGAATATTCTCAATATATTAATGCATAGTACTGTCAAAGAATTATTGCGTGAGTCTTCTTCTATATAATTCAAGAGTTGTGTTCATTTGGATAGATCACGCACTTCAATATAGCGCATCTCGGTTTGAATAAGTTGCCCATCAATATTATTATTATGATTATTTTTTTTTTAATTTTTTAATTTTATAAATTTTGGGTCGTGTTTCGATTGCAGCATCATTTGGTTTTGAACAAATGGCTACTTTTGCACTGGCTGTGAACTTCGTGACGTATTTCAATGGAGTTTTGCATATGGAACTAGCTGATGCAGCTAACCAAGTGACAAACTTTATGGGTACTAGTTATATCCTCTCCATTCTGGTGGCTTTCCTTGCAGACACTTACATTGGAAGATACAAATCTGTGATAATTTCAGGAAGTATTGAGTTTCTGGTACGGTTATCAATAACTGATGCATCTTAATCCTGAAAAAGAACTAACAGTGAGAAAGAACATTCTGACACCATTAAAAAGATATTCATGGGATATACTAACTGTTCTGAATTCAAGAAAAACGAAAATTCTGTCAAAAAGTTTTAGATTTCCTTTCTGCTGTCTAGGAACTCGTTGGCGAATTAACTACTCATTTTTTCTGTACGCTGCTTATACAGGGACTGGTGTTGCTAACAATACAGGCGCACTACCCGAATCTTAAGCCACCTCCTTGTAATATCTTTGATCCAACTTCTCATTGCGTGGAAATTGAAGGTGGTAATGCTGCACTTCTCTTTGTTGCAATCTACTTGATAGCTGCTGGGACAGCGGGAATCAAAGCTGCACTGCCTTCTCACGGTGCTGATCAATTTGACGAGAAAGACCCGCAAGAGGCTAGGAATATGTCCAGCTTCTTCAATGGCCTCTTGCTAGCCGTATGTCTTGGTGGTGCAGTTAGTTCAACTCTCATTGTGTGGATTCAAGACAACAAAGGATGGGATTGGGGATTTAGCCTATGTACTATAGCTATATTATTGGCTGTGATCATTTTTGGAGCTGGATTGCCACTATACCGAATCCAAGTTGCTCAAGGGACTAGTGCCATCATTGAAATTCTACAGGTTTGAATTCGTAATCATGTCATAAAGTACTGTAAAAGTCAGATTTGAATGTGTAGGTTTGTGTCAGCTCATATCCTTTTTGACACAATTTTTGCTTGATGGGCAAGTATGTACGAAACTACCGAACTGATGCAAAAATAGCTTCCAGCCATAAATCAGTTTTATGGATGCATGCCAGATCAAGAGTGATTTATTTGTTCTTTTATTGAATTCAGGTATATGTTGCAGCCATCCGTAATAGGAAACTTCAAATTCCTGAAGATCCTAAGGAGCTTTATGAGATTAAGGACAAAGAAGCTGCTATAGAAACTGAATTTCTAACTCATAGAGATATTTTCAGGTCAATTTTCTTAAATTTCCAGTTCAAAGTGTTGATAATATCTCTTACCTAAAACTTAATATAAGTGCAATTTTCTTCTGTACATATATGTTCAGGTGCCTGGACAAAGCAGCAATCCAGACACAACCTACAGGACATACTGGGAGACTAGAAGCGCCAAATCCATGGAAACTTTGCAGGGTAACACAAGTAGAGAATGCAAAAATCCTACTAAGCATGGTTCCAATATTTTGTTGCACCATTATAATGACCCTTTGTCTAGCTCAACTTCAAACTTTCTCCATTCAACAAGGCGCCACAATGGACACAAGCCTCACTAAATCTTTTGACATACCACCAGCTTCAATACCCATCATCCCAGTCATATTCTTGATCATTATAGTACCCGTCTATGATCGCATAGTTGTACCCTTCGCACGCAAGATCACAGGCCACCCGACCGGCATAACTCATTTGCAACGTGTAGGCGTTGGCCTCGTTCTTTCTTTTCTGTCCATGGCCATGGCTGCAATAATAGAAGTGAAGCGCAAAGGTGTGGCACGAGATCACAATATGCTTGATGCCATCCCTGTGGTGCAGCCATTGCCTATTAGCGTCTTTTGGCTATCAATTCAGTACTTCATATTTGGAATTGCAGACCTGTTCACATATGTAGGACTCCTTGAGTTTTTCTATTCAGAGGCACCCAATGCACTTAAGTCAATCTCTACTTGCTTTCTTTGGACTTCCATGGCACTTGGCTACTATTTAAGCACCATTTTGATTAACATAGTGAATAGAGCAACCAAGGATATTACTAGAAGTGGAGGCTGGTTAGCAGGCAACAACATTAACAGGAACCATTTGAACCTCTTCTACTGGTTGCTTTCGTTATTGAGCTTGATCAATTTCTTAGTTTATTTGTTTGTTGCTAGAAGGTACAAGTACAGACCTCAAATTAGCAGTCCCTAGTTGGAACAATAAGGAGAGGATTAAGTGTTATGGTTAATCCATTATGTTTGTTTTCCTTCATTTAATTACATCAGTTTGGTCATGATTCAGAAAGTGTAATATTTACTGCAACTAATGTAATTGTTTCTCATATTAAAGGAATTTGGTTGTAAAAAAACATATTTGTACTAGGTAAGGGAGTTGCTACACAATTACAAGTGTCTATGAAACTAAAATTTAAAAAGAAATTAATGCTATTCATCCTAAATTTTATCCGAAACCTTACATCTAAAATGATATGTTATATACATATATTATCGGTTGGGTAAGAACTCCAATGGTTAAGAGATTTAACGAATACCTTTATTAGTAGTCGTGGGAATTCAAACTTGAAAGACCATGTTAAATTATATGAACTTATAAGGCCAAGTTAAATCTTCTTTTTGTTTTATCATCAAAGATTCAAACTTAAGAGATCATATTAGATATTTCTTTACTCTTTTATTATCAAACTATCCAATAATAAATAAACGGTAACGTATAATTTATCATACCAAATCTTTGTTTATAGATTAAAGTTATGAAACATACTATACCATTTAGAGGAAGAAGTAATATAACCCGTTACATCATTTGGGATGAGAATTTCGAAATTCAGTTGAAGTCACTGTAATTAGTGGAAGTTGTACCTACAAAATAGCAAACATGGTTATCATCTAAACAAAGTCCAAGGGTACTCAACTCTCCTCCATTTGTCCACTCATCTCACCATTCTCCGCCACCTCATTCCCCATGCATGTCTACGTGCTCTCCCTTTAACCCACCATGTTCCTTCTCTTTCTCTCTATAAACAACTCCATCCTCTTAACAAAACTAACCAACAATTAACTCTGCAGTTTCCATGGCCTCCAGTGACAAGTCCCCGGAACCAACACCGCCCTACGGAGAGCAGCAGCCACCGGGGGCTCCGATGACGATGTATCAGCACTTGCTGGACAAAGGCGCTCAGATGATGCAGTCTTTGAAGCCCATAAAACAGATGAACCAGCATGTGTGCACCTTTGCTTTATATAGCCACGACATGTCTCGCCAGATTGAGACTCACCACTATGTCACCAGACTAAACCAGGACTTCCTCCAGTGCGCTGTTTATGACACTGATGACTCCTCCGGCCGACTCATTGGTAACTAAATTTTACAAATTAATTCTATTTATTTATTTATTTTTATTTGTACATCTCGAAGGTTGATCTTGTTAGAGAATGTTCTGTACAGGAGTGGAGTACATAGTTTCAGATAAGATTTTTGAAGCTTTGCCACCGGAAGAGCAGAAGCTTTGGCACTCTCATGCTTATGAGGTTTTTACTATACTATATATATAATTTTGTAATTTCTTGAGTTTTAATGTAAATGGTGGTTAATCATGAAATTATTGGATGATCTAGATAAAATCAGGCCTCTGGGTTAATCCTCGAGTTCCAGAAATGATAGTGAAACCAGATCTCGAAAATTTGACCAAAACTTACGGCAAGTTTTGGTGTACATGGCAGGTGGATAGAGGTAATTAAATGAAATATTACACATATAATTGCATGTAATATTTGAGGTATTAATCCAGTAATGGGTGTGTGTTAATAATACAATAATAAAAAGTGAAGGTGATAAGCTTCCATTGGGAGCACCGGCACTGATGATGTCTCCCCAAGGAGTGAACTTGGGGATGGTGGATCCGGAGCTAGTTCAGAAAAGGGATAACAAGTACAACATATCAACTGAAGCAATGAAGAGTTCAAGGGTGGAGATTGAAGAACCAGAGTGGATCAATCCACAAGCTGACTACTGGAAGCAGCATGGCAAGGGTTTTGCCATCGATATTGAGCGGACTCAAATGAAAACAAGGGCTCCCTTCCCATAAATATTCATATAAATATAATGTAATATCTCTCTTAATGTTTTGTTTTGTGAATCTAGCTTATAATACATAAATGTACTAGACATGGTACGCTGTCGTTTTTAATATATCTTGTTCAACTGGACTCCTTTTACTTCACTTTGTGTTCTCAAATCTTTCCTGTTAATTTTATTTCTCAGGATCGTTTCTATTTGTTAGACATATTGTTAGCTGTTTAATTCGATTGAAGTGGCAAATAATTAATACACATTCGATTATTGATATGGATATCTGTTTGATTGTACGCGAGAAGCATAATTCAATTGAAATTTCAATTGACAAAGGGTAAAAAAAAATACGATTTCCAAGAAGGTTTTCCCAGGCACGGACACCCTCATATTACTTTTGGGGGTTTTATTGTTAGTTTTGAAACCTGCAGGGGTTAACAAAAAATAGGGGGTTCTAAAAAATTTTGAAGCAGTATCGGTTTGATTAGACCTGGCAAAACGGGCAGGTGGATCGGGTACAGTCTGGGTCTAAACGGATACGGGTCTTAAACGAGTCGATCTAAACGGGTTCAATACTTTAGGGTCGTACCTTACCCTATACAAGTACGAGTGGACCCACTTTTCTGGTGAAGTTCCTCTTGACCCTTCTTCTCAAAGTACTCAAGGTGACTTTAGGACCCTTCCAACGAATCTCAACTGCTAATCTTTGTTCTTTGTTCTTCCTTCTTCTTTGCAATCTCATGCACCAGATCCCACCCCTTCATCCTCTGTACCACCAATTTCACCTCGTACTTCTTCGTCACAACTCACAAGAGGCGGCCATGGCTGTCACCTCATCATCTTTATCACCATTCTTCAAACCAAACCCAAACCCAAAAGCAAATACCCAAAAAAGAACAACCTCAAAATCTTCAAATCCTTAGAAAAACAAAAAGAAAAGAAAACTTGTTTCCAAAATTACACAATGTTTTTCATTCTTCCCATAACTCAACCACACAAAACAAACCCAAAAAAGAAAAATTTTTAAAAGCTCCGAAATCTTGAGAAACACGAAGAGAAAACAATTTGAAGAAATGGAAATGTGCTGCTCTACAACCTATCTTGATGAACCAGAAGCGAGAAGGGCTGGGTGAATTCAAGTTTTTTTTACGCCATCAATTGGATCTATTATACCAGTAGCCCCTTAGTTGCAAAGAAGAAGAGTGGGTTGTTGAAAAACTCTTTGGGAAGAAAAATTAGTGGGTTAGGGAAGGGGAATGAATGGAGATTGTGGATGATTTTAATAGGAAAGGCACGGACTACGAACTGAACAAGAGAAGAGAAGTTAAGTTTGGAGAGAGAGAGAGAGAGAGAGAGAGAGAGAGAGAAGGCAAACAAAAGGTGTTTTAGGCGTCTGCTCACATGCTACGAAAGAGAAAGTCAAAGAATGCCAGGGTTTTTTTCTTTAAATTGAAAACGGGTACCTGCAAGTGTACCCAGTCTACCCATTTACAAAACGGGTAGGACCGAGTACAGATCTTAAAAAACGGGTTTAATAATATAGATTCGTATCCTATATAATTTACTCGGGTATGGGGTCAACCCGTGGGTCCCAACCCGTTTTGTCAGGTCTAGGTTTGATCATGTGCCACGACATGTCACATACACATATATAACTTTTTTCCTTTTGAAAAGAGTTAACAACTTTTTTCCACCATAAAAAAGCTTAATGATACTTTCCTCCTCAAACTTTCGGTATTTTAAATCCAAAACAAAATTTTGTCAATAATTTTCACTGTGACTTGTGAGGAAGGGTAAGATGGTCAAAAGTTCCTCTCGGAGAAGAAGAAAAGAAAAAGGATGACGCATGTTAATAAGAAATGGCACACGTTAGAAGCGTCATAGCCGACAATTTTCGCCTAGGGATGGGCATGGGCCAGGGACCCCTATCTCCGGCCCCGGCCCGAAAGCCCAAGGGGATTTCTCGATCTCGGCCCAAATCCCATTCGGGGAATCCCGAAAAAAAGCCCGTTCTCCAAACGGGGAATTCGGAGAGTTTGGGGGTTTTTTGTCTTTTTGTTACCTTATTAGTTTTATTATCCTTTTCTCCAAATTATATATACCAACAAAAAAAAAAAAAATTAAATATATAATATACATATTAAACATAAAGACCATATCATTAAAAAAGAAATTAAATCTATAATGTACATATTAAATATAAAAATCATCATAATAAATTGATAATATATTACAATATGTATTATTATATATTAACAATATAATATTATGTTTATACATTAAGTAATAAGTATTAACATGTATAATGTATCTTTAATATATAATGTATTATATATAATACATTATACATATATATTATAATAAATTTTAAATAAATAACTACCATATATATTATAATAAATTCTAAATAAATAGCTATCACAATATAACAAAAGCAATTAGGTAATAGAATTGAAATAATGATTCGATGAGGGACAAAAAAAAAAAAAAAAAATATAATGATTTATTGATTCATTAAAATCAATCAAAACAACAAATAATATATTACATATATATTATGTATTAACGTAAGATTACAGATAATAGTATATTATATATAAATTATAATGTACAACATATATATGTTATATACATTATACTTATATAGTATATACCATATATAATATACAATGTATAATGTCAAATGTATACCATATATAATGTATAAAATATAATGACGAATGTATAACTTTTGTTTCATAACATTAACATATTATGTATAATATATATATATATTACAAATATTTATAATGATTTATTATATTTAATCTAGTTTTATTTATTACCTATTTGTATATAGTTTCATAAAATACTTATACAATTATAATTTGTCATTGTATAAAGTATAATTCATTTTCAAATATTAAAATTATTATAGGTATATATGATTGATTTTCAAATATTAAAATTAATATAGGTATATATGTGATTGATTTTAATTATTAAATTTAATATATATATATATATATATATATATATATATAAGGGCCGGGGCGGGGCGAGACCAATCTCGGCCCTGGCCCATCCCCGAATTCCAGGGCTAATCTTAGGCCCAATCCCAGCCCAAAGCCTGAACGATTCAGGGAAAATCCACCCCATTCGGGCTGGGCCGAGGCGGGTCCCCATGGGGCTGGGCTTTGTGCCCATCCCTATTTTCGCTAGTTTCTAGTTGATCTTGGCATTCAAAATCGCTTCTAAGATAACCCATAAAATCCTCATTGCCTCCTCTACAAAGCCTAAGTCTCCATTTGCCATCATCACTCATCATTTCCAACCACCACCTCCGTTCGCATGGTTGAATCTTCAAGCTAGATTTCTAGTTGATTTTTTTGCCACAAATTCCCTTAGACACCACCATCACACTCCCCACAACTCACTCTACAAAACCCTTACCTCCATCAGTATCCCTTGCTCGCTGATCGCTGACCATGCACCACGTGACCTTTCAACTTCCAAGCCAATTGTTGGTCATTTTTTGTGTCGAAAACCCACCTTGAAACCACCACCAAAATCCCAATCCTCCCCTCTCCAAAACCCCTAACAGCCTTGACCCTATTTGCTCGCTGATCACCACCATCCTCTTCCTAGGGTTTTAGTTGCATAATGAACTTTGGGTGTGTTTGATTAATGAAATTAAGCAAAATTAGAGGTTAATTTGCCAATTACACACCATTCTCTATCACCTAGAGTTTCATTGTTGGTCGTTCACCGTTTTTCATAGTGCCAGTGGCGAGAAAATAGTATTTTCGTTTTCACAATAAAAATTACTGTATTTTCCACCCAAACCAGAGAGAAACGTAAGCTTTTCATAATATTTAAAATCTAAATGGTGTTTTTAAAAGTCAAGGGTGAGAAATTGTTATTAAGCTTTTTTTTGGGTGGGAAAAAATCTGGCTCTTTTGAAAAATAAGCAAATAAATCCCAGTCGCGTTTTTTGGGGGTGTTTGTCTAAGCTTATAAGCTAGTCAAACTAGCTTATAAGCTCTAAAATTAAGCTGACCTGTTTGTTTATAACTTTTTTGAGCTTATAAGTTGAGCTTATAAGAAAAAAAAAAAAAGTTGGGGGGGAAGTACTTTTTTTTTGGCTTATAAGCACTCTACTTATAAGCTAGTTTGACCAAGTATATTACCACATTATCCTTGTTTATTTTTAAAATTCCTTAGTATATCATTGTTTAATGTAGTACCTTTTTTAGTCATTTTATAATAAAATATACTTATAAGCCACATTTTACCAAACACGTCAACTATTTATCAGTCACTTATAAGTATTTTAACCAAACACGTAATTGCTTAAAATTTCAAATGCTTATAAGCTAAAAATTAGCTTATAAGCACTTGCTAATTTTCATAAGCTCAGACAAACACCCCCTTTAATTTGTCGCGATATAGTAATCTTTTTGTAGATCTTCCAGATGGACGGTCAAGATCATGTCTACACATTGAACACCCGAGTCCCGACATCTCAATAACAATCGCTTAAATTCCTCCACGTCTTCAGCATATCCTTTATGCCCCTTTCCATGTGCCATCGTCTTCGCGGCTCCCGTTGCCATTTTTAAACGCCAAGAAAAAGCTCACTCCTCCTCAACAACTCCTTCAAAATTCGTTTTTTAATCTATTTTCTTAATTATTTAAACGAAATAAAAAATGGGTTCATCTCAATTTGTCCGTTATTGCAGTCTCATGAATGTTCTCAGATCTTTTCTTCATTAGATTCCTAGCATTTCTGGGTGTTCTCGGCTTCTCTCTCTTCGTTTTCTCAATCACCATGGATGTTCCCGCAACTAGCGTCGCAACAGACGAATCTCAGAAGAATGATTATTCGGTGTGGGCGGCTCCGCCGGTGGATGTGATACCGAGAATCAAGAAATTGATGGAGGGTCTACGATCCGAGTTCGGCGGGCCCCAGTTGGAGCCGCATATGACTGTTGTTGGGTTGGTCAGTCTGACGAAGGATGATGCGTTGGCCAAGTTTAAAGCAGCTTGCGATGGGCTCAAGACTTATAATTGTAGTGTGGATTCGTGGGCCACTGGACGTTTCTTTTACCATTGTGTTTATTTGCTCATTCATCCCACGACCTGAGGTGATCCTTTTTTTTTTTTTTTTTTTTTTTTTTCTGTGTAGTGTTTGTGCTCAAGTAAATTGAATAATTTATTAACTATAATTGGGATTTTGTTTTTATGTGGTGGAAGCTAGTGCAAAGTCCAGTAGCACTTTTGGGTTCAAGTCCTCTACACGTAAGATGTTTACCCTTTTGCATTTGTTTAAAGCTTTTTCTTTTGCCCATTAGGTGAAAGAAACATCCAAATTGTCATTCTACACAAAACTTCGTATAAATGCTAAAACAAGAAAGAGGGGGGGTGGGGTGGGGGGGAGGGACTGTTTGTATTGTGGAAGTTTAGGAAAAGCTGATAATTCATCTGTTTAGGAAATAGTACATATATGCTGGGGACAGCTAGTTATAATTTCTTAAAAGTCGTAACATGTATGAATGACTTGTTATATGTTAACCAAAATGACGTTGTGGATAAGCTGAACATGTTATTTTTGATGGCGTTAATGGGATTTTGCTCCTGGTTACAGAGTAATTTTCCTGTAAAGGACATTTTCATCTTTAATTATGATACTTGATCTTGATTAGCTGAATCCTCTTCTTACATTCTTACCCTATCTAGAATCATTCGTTCTTTCTATTTTATCTGGCAAATCCTATTTTCAGTAATTCTACAGGCATAAATTCTCCACCACAAGCTTCTGTATTTCATAATTGAGGGAGAGATGATGCATAAATGTAAGATAGTATCTAATTGTTGACTTCTTGCCTATCACTTCACCTCATGCCCCGTGTACCTTAAAGATGAACCATTTTATTACTTGATGTGGCATATATGAAATGTTATCTACTACTTCTTGGATCTTTGTTACTTGCTGAGATCATTTAACTACAATTTTGTTTCTTAAGGTTAACCCTTTCAATTTTAAATTTGTGAAACTCTAATACATGCTGTTATTCTGGAATGAGTAATTGTGTTTTAATAATGAAAGCCTTGCATAATCTTGCAGCTTACATGCCGCATATAAGCCTGCTTTATGGGGACCTGACAGATGAAGAGAAGAAAAAGGCTCAAGAAAAAGCTTACTTTCTTGATGAGAGCATCGACCAACTAAGCTTCCCAATTACTCGCCTTCAATTGTGGAAAACACCCGCTTCGGATAACACTCTCACATCTTGGGAGAAGATTGCTGAATACAATCTCAGCCCCAATTAACTTTTCTTCAACTCCTTAATTGAAATAACTTGCAGCAAGATCCACCATACTGGTGATCTTCTTCAGGTTGTTGCATACAGTCTATTAATAGAACTCTCCATGCTGTCTGCTTCCTGTAATAAATGGCAAATGCAGCTTATAATGTACTTATCTGGTTATCTAATGTACGCATATATCATTAAATAAGTGTCACTAGCTGCAATTACTTATGTGGTGGTTTGTGGTGCAATGTTTTGAAACCCGACCCGACTGGTGATCTAGAAAGTTTGAAATTTTGCAAACAATCCCCTGAAAAATTCAGTCAGTCCCTGTAGGTTTGAAATCTAGCAATCACACCCCTGTGACAGTTAAGGCTTTGGTTTTTCCAGCCAAATTTTGGCTGATTTCGGTGGCCAAAATTCAATCCGACACCACCACTTGAACCACCGGTCTCTACTCTACAAAACCCCTTTAACCCCAACACTTGGTAGCCCCCTATTCGTCGGTCGTGACTCGCATATACTTTTGCGATTAAGTTGATTTTCCAAACCAAATTTCAGCTAATTTTGGTGTCCAAAATTCACTCCAACGCCACCTCTTGAACCACCGGTCTCCACTCTACAAAAGTCTTCTTACCGCAATGCTTGGTAGCCTCTCGTTCGTGGGTAGTCAATTTAGGAATTTTGGGAATAGTTGAATTTTGTAACCTGGCCTGGTGAAGCTCTCGGTTCGGGTTGAACCAGTTCAACCGGCCGGGCCGGGTTTTAAAACCTTGATGTGGTGGTTAAAAAGCTCGGAAGTTTTGTGCAGCCAAATGGAAGATAAAAATGAAGAAAATTGAAGATATTTTGTGCTAAAGATTGCGAAAAGTTTTATATCATTACAGTAGAGGTGATAACTGGAATCTGAAAGTCGACCAATTCACTCCAACTACTAAAAATAGAAGGCTTTATTCAGCTGAAAAACAAGTTCTGATATGCTATAACTTCCCCTTTGGGAGATGAAATGATCCTGATGGTCAAATATAGTGTGTAATTACTAATTAGTCAATTATTACTAACTTTTTTTTTTTTTTTTTTTTTTTTTTTTTTTATATGTTCATTTGATCAATACAGAAGTAGATGAATTTCTTTGAATTCTCTAGCTCAATTCCAACCTCTTTTTCGTTTTGTATCTATCCATAAACTTAAATTAAGTTAATTAAGACTCTAAAAGATCATTGTAGAGAATAGAATCTTCACGAATTATATATTTGATATCATTAATTAAATTTAGATTATAAGATAAATTTTGATCATGTATAATCATCTCACAAGATACATTCAATTTAAGTTCATTAGAATATAATTAATTAGTCTAAGATAGAGAGGTAAATTAACTTATACTCTTATACAATGATCTCACAGAACACATATCATTTAAGTTAATTGGAGTATGTTGAAGAGAGTTATATAAAATGGTCTCAAATCACAAGTTAATTAGATTAAAAGGTAAATCTGGATAATTTTATAGACTCTACTAGACCTAGCAAAACAGGCGGGTATGGGTCGGGTTTAATGATGCAAGTTCAAAAGAGGTTGATTTAACCAAGTTTAATATTTTAGACCCGTACCCTACTCTATACAGGTGCGGGTGGGCCTGCACTCCAATTTTTTATTTTTGACAGTTATACCCCACAATTTCTGCCGACTCTACTACATATATTAATAAATTAATGTAATAATAGAGAATCGAATCTTATATCAAATTGTATTTGGGATAGCCTCCTAAGCAGAGAGATTGTAAGTCTCATAAGCACAAAAAAAAAAGGATAAGCAAATTTCTAGAAAAGATGTGAACATGGGCGGTTCTATGCCTATACAGATGCATAATTTGTGGGATTTAACCTTCAGGTTTTTGCTTGGCCATTAATTATCCATTGACAGTTGATAGACTCATTGGAGAATCCTCCCTCGTCCAGAGAAGTCAAAACACCAAATATATTTCAAGCACTAACAAACACAGAATTACAATAAAACTTGTGGTACCCAAAATTCCAGTTCAGAGATCAAGTTTGATTCAATCTAATCTAATTATTTCTCATGTGCTCTCAACGATATAACCCATGTTCAATAATGGTACTGTATCACTGAAATGGTACTTCATCTGTCTGTATCCTCTTGATCAATCTTTAGTTCGCAGTTTCATGAAAATCTCTTTCTCACAGTCGCAAGATTCGCCTACAGATGAAATCACATTTATGCTAGCAGAAGAGCTAGCATTGTGTTTTTTTCTAATCCTAAGAAGTGGACATAAATTACACGTTTTCATATCTTGAATTTATGTAGTTATATATATAGTTCTTTGCCTTAGTTTGTAACAATCTGAACATTGTTACACTTCTGCACAGGCACAGAAGGAGCCTAGCCAGGAGCTATGGTACCTTCTTATTCTCAACTTAAGTATGTCTCCATTTTCATTTTTCCAAATTTATTCCAATTAAATTTCTTATTTCATTGCAGGAGACACCTGAGCACATTGAAGGAAAGGTGGACTGGAAGGGAAGACAAACTCTCAAGCATCAGCATGGGGGAAGAAAGACTTTTGCTCATACTAGGTAGAATTCATCTTGTGAACATTTTTGATAGACCATTCAATAATTTTTTTTTTCTTTCATTTGGGTTGTGTTTCAATTGCAGTTTCGTATGGTTTCGAACACATGGCAACTTGTGCACTGGCTGCGAACAGGGTGACGTATTTTAATGGGGCGTTGCACATGGATTTAGCCGATGCAGCTAACCAAGTGACCAATTTCATGGGTGCCAGTTTCATCCTCTCTATTCTGGAGGCTTGCCTTGCAGACACTAACATTGGAACATATAAATCTCTGCTAATTTCAGGAAGTGTTGAGTTTCTGGTACGCTTATAAATAACTGTAACAATCTTAATCCTGAAAATGACTAACACTTGGAAAGAACACGCTCATTGGCAATGAAATTCATTTTTTCTGTATGTTGTTTATACAGAGAATGTATTGTTAACAATACAGGCGCACCACCCCAATCTCAAGCCACCTCTTTGTAATGTGTTTGTTAAAACTTCTAATTACGAGAAAATTGAAGTTGGCAATGCTGCAATTCTGTTTCTTGTACTTGGTAGCTACTGGGACAGCAGGATTCAAAGCTGCACTGCCGTCTCACGGTGCTGATCAATGTGATGAGAAAGACCCAAAAGAGGCTAGGGATATGTCCAGCTTTTTCAACGGCCTCTGGCTAGCCCTATGCATTGGTGGAGCAATTAGTTCAACTCTCATTTTGTGGATTCAAGATAGGGGACTTGGCCTCTGTACTATAGCTATACTCTTGGCTGTGATAATTTTTGGAGCTGGGTTGCCACTATACCGATTCAAGTTGCTCAAGGGACTAGTGCTATCAAAGAGATTTTACAGGTTTAAATCTATGTTAGTATATACAAACTACCCAACTGATGCAAAGATAGCTCCTGCAATATACACTTTCATGGATGCATACTAGACCAAGAATGATTTATGTGTTCTTTCATTGATTTCAGGTATATGTTGCAGCCATCCTTAACAGGAAACTCCAACTTCCTGAAGATCCTACGGAACTCTATGAGATTGAGGACAAAGAAGCTGCTATAGAAACAGAATTTCTACCTCATAGAGATATTTACAGGTCAGTTAATTTTCTTAAATTTCCAGTTCAAAGTGTTGATACAATCTTATCTCTCCCCTGAAACCAAATATAATAAGTGCAACTTTCTTCTGCTACCTCTATATTCAGGTGCCTGGACAAAGCAGCAATCCAGACAACACCTATAGGAGAAACTGGAAGACCAGAAGCTCCAAATCCGTGGAAACTTTGCAGGGTAACACAAGCAGAAAATGCAAAAGTAATTCTAAGCATGGTTCCAATATTTGTTGAACCATTATTACGATGACCCTTTGTCTAGCTCAACTTCAAACTTTCTCCATCCAACAGGGTCGCAATGGACACAAGCCTCACTAAATCTTTTAACATACCACCAGCTTCACTACCCATCATCCCAGTTGTATTCATGATTGTATAATACCTGTGTATGATCGGATATTTGTACCCTTTGCTCGCAAGATCACAGACCAGCCCACAGGCATAACTCATCTGCAACGTGTAGGCGTTGGCCTCGTTCTTTCTTCTTTGTCCATGGCGGTGGCTGCAACAATGGAAGTGAAGTGCAAAGGCGTTGCACAAGATCACAATATGCTCGATGCCATCCCTGGGGTGCAAGTGCAACCATTGCCTATCAGCGTATTTTGGCTGTCCTTTCAGTACTTCATATTTTCAGTTGCAGACATGTTCACAAATGTAGGACTACTAGAGTTTTTCTATTCAGAGGAACCCAATGCACTTAAATCAATCTCTACTTATTTTCTTTGGACTTCCATGGCACTTGGGTACTTTTTAAGTGCCATTTTGATTAACATAATGAATAGTGCAACCAAGAATTCCACTAAAAGTGGAGGCTGGTGTTGATCGGTTTTTCGCACCAATGAGACATATGTAAGCCTTGGAAAGTTTGCACAAAGGGTCTATGTTAGACAGTGAAATAGCAAATATGATTCAAATGAGGTTTTTGAGTATAGAAAGGAAGATGCAAGGCAATAAACGCGCAAAGAAAATAGAGATAGATAACAACGACTTGAAAAGTCGTTCGGAAGCAATATGCATTACTTACCTTCACTATTATTTGATTGATATGTTTACAAAAGAATTTGCTCTACAAAGATTATTGTTGTTATACTCTTGTGGTTAAAGATATATTATATATCCTCGGCTTGGGGGTGAGAATCTCTTATTTATAGTATTCTGAGGATAATCTTAGGTGTGAAATAACTTTCATGCATCACGATATATGATCAAGATAACATTATAACTTGAAATCTTATCGGTGAAGTAATTTTTTGGAGTCTTACACTTCCTCATGAAGTAATTCTCTCCTGAATTGACACACAAATCGGAGAGATTCGTGGTGTGAATCCACTCTGTGTGGATTTACTGCCCAACAACTGGTAAGCAAGGAACAATATTAGCAGGAACCATTTGACCCTCTTCAACTGGTTTCTTTCTACATTGAGCTTCATCAATTTCTTAGTTTATTTGTTTGTTGCTAGAAGCTACAAGTATAGGCATCAAATTAGCGGTTCCTAATCAGAGCAATTGTAGAGAACACCCACTGCAGATAACAATTTTAAATCTTGAGAGAAGATTGATGTACGCAATCTCAGCCCCATTTAACTTTTCTTCCACTCATTAATTGCGTACAGTTCATAAATAGAACGCTCCATGCTGTCTGTTGCCTTTAATAAATGCAGCTGACATGTTGTTATCGGGTTATTAAATGCATCATAATATCATTCAATATGTTTCTCCAGCTAATCACTTATTCACTTTTACGCGGTGGTTACGAAGGTTCTAGATTTTGTGCAGTCAAATGGGAGATAAAATGAAGAAAACTGAAGATATTTTGTATCATCAACCTGGTTAGTAAATAGTAAATACGGGTATAATAAAAAATGATATAAGAATTTTATAAGTATAATATAATAAATAGTAAAAAATATATTTATAAATTTAGATATAAAAAAAATATAGTACAGATATATATGAGTTTAATACGGTATATTATCAATAATATGTTTTAAAAAATATGATAATATCAATCTCGATTTTAACATTTTTCTTGAACCATCTGCTTAAAATACATTTCAAATATAAAGTATTCAATTAACTAATAACCATTAGACCTAATAATATAACACATTATATAATTGAGATTCAAATTATAGTGTCCAGACTCAAACACAATATATAATCAAGATTCAATTATAGTCTCAAATCAAACCCACAACAAAACCAAAATTCAAAGTTAAACTAGAGCTCCAAACAAATAATATAAATAAATAATACAACCAAGATTCAAATTATAGTCTATAACAGAAACTCACCCTAGTTAGTAAATACGAGTACAGCAAAAAAATGGTATAGGAATTTTACGGGTATCATATGGTAAATGGTGAAAAATACAATTATAAAAATTTGGTAAAAATTCGGATACGGAAAAAATACAGGAATGATTCACAAATAAAACATCTGAGACATATAATTCACGAATAATGTGACTGGGTTAATAAAATACGGAAATTCATGAATAATATGTAAATTATTCGGTTGGACATATAATTTGTGTTTTATTTGCGAATTTACCAATTAGGCTAACGCAAAGGTTGAATTACAGTTTTCAATATGACAAAAGGAAAAAAAAGGTTTGTGAAATGTTTTTATATCATTATAATATATGTGATAATTGGAATTTGAAAGTCAACTATTTCACTGCAATGACTAGAAATCAATGTTTTTATACCCAAAGCGGGCCTTGTTCGATGGTTGAACTGTTGACATCATGCTGACATCAGTATGATGTAATAAACTTTTAAAACTTCTCTGTGTTTGGACAGAATGATGAATATTGGCTTGAGGGAACATGGTTGTTCTTCCCTGGAACGGTTTGGGGGACAGACGAACAACCAGTCATTCTCTTAAAACTGGAGTCTTGCTTCAACATGTTCTTTGACTCCAACGATTAAACCGCGGTTCGACTTCATTCCCATCGGTTCAACCTCAAGTCAATCTGGTCCAATAGATAAAACAAGTTTTAGCTATTCAATGGATTGGATTAATGACCGATTTCTGGTCGGACCAGTCAATCCAATTCAGGTTTTAAAACCATGCTAGAAATACAAGGTTTTAATAAGCTAAACAACGAGTTCTTAAATGTTCTAATTTCCCATTTGTCTGTGGGGCTGATGAAATGATGCGGATGGTCAAATGTAGGCCGTATTTCTTATTCGCGTAGGAACTAGGAAGGGCAGAAGCAAATGTCTTCCTTGTGTCGACATGACTTTAGAAATATAAAAGTCGGTTTGGTTCAATTAGAAAATAATTGGGGTTAATCAACCAAACGAAAAGTTAATAAAGTCCAAACAAAAAGGAAAAGTAATGTAAAATATTCTTGCACCACGCATATCATATAAGTTAAATAGATAGAGAAGTAAATTTGGACGCACATATAAACTCTACTTTACATATATTGTTTTACGTTTAAATTAAAAGCAATAATAGAGAATTCAATCTTACATTACATCACATTGAATCCTAAGCAGAGAGGCTCTAATTCTCCTAAGGATAAGCACAAATCTAGAACAGATGTGAACCTGGGCAGGTCTATCCAGATTCCAGATTTCTGGGATTTGACCTTCAGGTTTTTTCTTGCCCGATAAGGATCCATTGACAGTTGGGGTTACTGATAGGAGATTCAGAATCCTTCTCCCCCCAGACAAAGTCAAAACACCAAATATGTTCAAACACCAACACAAATACAATTACAATGAAAAACTCAAATTTATGATACCCAAAGAGATCAAATTTGATTTGATCCATCTGATTATTTCTCACGTGTTCTAAACGATATGAACTCATGCTCAATAACCAATAGTCAACGCATCTACATCTCTCAGGAATGGCTGGAGCTTACTGTAAAGGCCAGCCAAATAAAGACTTAGTCAAAATCTCATCCGGATATCTGATTAATTTAGAAGCCTTTACCGCATATAGCAGTAATCTTCTCGACAGAATCTCCTCTAAACAATTCCCACTAGCTGCCATTCTTAATAAATACATTGAACAGTGAATTTACCCACATGCTCAAAGTCAAGACAAATTTGAACTGGTATAAAAGAATCACTCAAAATGAGAAAAAAAAACCCCACCTCGTCTATGTATATTAAATTATCCAATTTGATACCAAACTACCAACTAAACACAGTTTTTCTTTTAACTTGTTGGAGAATTCAAGCAAGCCATGTACACAACATGATTTAGTATAATTCTTTCTTGATTCAAGATAGGATATTCCCTTTTCCAAAACGTCAAGTTCTGAACTTTGAACCAATTCTATTTTCCACTTTCGTCTGTCGACATCACATCAGCCCTCTTATTTGGGCAAGAATTAAGATAAGTATCAAAAGCTGTCCTCAAAAATAAAATGGTTAAAGTCAAGGGTTAAAAGCGGACTAAAACACGTGGGAACCGACACTTTAATCTTTTATCAACTACTAATCACGTGTTCAACTAATGAAACGACACCGTTATCCAACTCTGTTAAAAAAAATTTGAACAGTAATGATCATACGTGTGCGGTTCAGATCCGGTGCGCCGTAAACACTCTCGTGTAGGTTAGTCAACTACTTCTTACATTGCGCCGGCTACGCGTATGCCGTAATTAAAAATATTCTATTCGACGCGCTTTAAGCGCGTGGTCTCACCTTATCCCTACATCGTCAACGTCAACCTTACCTACCTGGCTGCCTTATATATCACTGTGAAACTTCAAAACGCATACTAAAAACGTTACTCAAATCGCTGATCATAACGGTTAAATCCTTTTTCTCTTTGAACTCGATCTTAATTAGATTTTAAGCTTTTAAAAGAACAATCTTTGCGTAATTTTGTTAATGAGTATGGAGACGAAGGCGCCGGCGAGGACGACCCTGTTAAAGCAGTCGTCGTTAGCTCCGGATCGGCAGCGGAAGGAGGCGGAGCTGATTGACGGCGAAGACGACGGCGGGAACATCAAGCCGGAGGTGAGTTTGATGTACTTGGCCAATGAGCGTGACTTGGAAGGCATCAACGAGCTCTTAGATTCCGGCATCGATGTAAATTTTCGTGATATTGATGACCGTACGGCTCTCCACGTGGCGGCGTGCCAGGGCTTCACAGAGGTTGTCGAATTGTTGCTCCAACGTGGTGCTGACGTGGACCCCAAAGATCGTTGGGGCAGCTCGGTGAGTGAAGTTTTGACATAATGAGGCTTTACTGTGGTACTGTTTCCGGTAATGTTACCGACTTGACTAATGTTGGTTAAACAGCCCCTTTCAGATGCTATATATTATAAAAACCATGATGTGATTCAACTTTTGGAGAAGCATGGAGCAAAACCTCTGGTATGTTTTAGTTTTAGTTTGACTTAATGGTTTCAAATTGTTATGAGCATAATTTTATACTCTGTTTTAATTTTATCTTTGATTTAATGTGTGTAGATGGCTCCAATGCATGTCAATCACGCCCGTGAAGTTCCGGAGTACGAAATTGATGCTCATGAACTTGATTTTACGAATAGTGTTGATATTACTAAGGTGATTTTTTTCCCCCTTTTGATATGATTTTATTTATATGCCTTTCCGAACTTGTATATGCTTGTTTCTGGTGCTAAGTCATTATTGGAGATATTATTTCTTTCAAAACTGTTATGCCATGAATCATGGGTTGCTTAATGATGCCCAGAAATTATGGAAAAAAGAAAATTGATGAAGTAATTCGTTTGAAAAATGAAATGTAGGAATTTTGGTACTTGCTATAAGTGTTGGAAGATAGCTTATGATTGACTGACTTCTGGAATGCTGCAATTTTATTATTTTTATTCTTGCTTGAAAATACATAAGAATATGCAGCTAGGAATTATTGAAGGGTTATTGTGAAATATGTTGCAGGGGACTTTCCGTATGGCATCATGGCGTGGAATTCAAGTTGCTGTAAAAAGGCTCCCAGAGGAAGTGATTACTGATGAAGATAAAGTGTAGGTTATTCATAAATTAAGAAAGTTCCTTTCTTTTTTGACATGACTCCATCCTCTCAAAGCGGTTGATTTGTTGCAGGAGGGCATTTAGGGATGAGCTTGCATTGCTTCAAAAGATTCGACATCCAAATGTAGTCCAATTTCTGGGTGCTGTAACACAAAGTAGTCCAATGATGATTGTGACAGAATATTTACCTAAGGTCTTTCCTTAACCTTCGATTCATTAGCATATAGTAAAGCTATTTAGAGAATGTATGAAGTCATTGCTTTTTCCTTTTCTGGATCTTTGATGTGTCTTCATTTTAACTTTTTCACTATTAGGCTCTCCTGCTGTTTTACAAATTCTAGTGATTGTTAATGTTGAGAGTGATATTTCCAAATTTTTCTGCTTGAAAACTTATGAGTGAAACATGTCACATGTTGGAGAAACAATGACCAATTTATTGCTGTTGAATTCCTATGTTGCATCTTTACTGCTTTTGCCACTGGATTTAATCCCATTGTATAAAAAGGAAAATTACAGCAGAAACTACTTAATAAAAGTTTGTTTCACAGCTTATCTTGAAGCCTCATTGTTTTCAAATCTTATTTCCATGTTACAGGGAGATCTTCGTGCATTCTTGAAAAAAAAAGGAGCACTGAAACAATCGACAGCTGTGAGATTCGCACTTGATATTGCAAGGTTGCTACTTTATTATTGCGGTGAACTTTACTCTCACTTTTGGACATGCCTTTTACTGACAATTTTGTATAGAGAATAAGGTTACACATGGCCATTAACATCAAGGTCTTATAGTTTTATAGAGTGAAGTATGGCAACAAACTTTTTTGTCAATTTGATGAGATACTGGCATACGGAATTCTTGTACCTCCTGTCAGGCAAATTTTAGGGTTTTTGGCTTAAAATCTAGTTTTTAGAGTTGGCTTTCAAATACTTTACTTTTCTGAAGGCAGTGGAACAGGCCTCTCAAATCTATTTAGACAGAGAAAGAATGCTGTCCAACTACTTATGTGTGATTCTAGCTTATATTTGATAGATATAGTCTAACTTGCCAAAATGTTTCAGTTTTCAAAATTTAACCCTTGGTGTACAGATTCTCTAACTCAATGATTCTAGAGAAATTTTAGAACTTGATAATCTCATCTTTGCTTCATCATTTGAAGGGGACAAGCAATGGTAGTACGTAAGTTTAAACCCTTATTATAAAATTTTAGATGGTGCTGAAAGGAATGTCAAAGAGCATAACTTTAAGATACAGATGCAGAAAAGAACTGTGGCTTAAAATAATGCATTCATTTATCTAATATCCTTTATTTTCTGTGAATTGCTTGACTCCTGGAGTTATCTGGAAAATTATTTCATTCTTTGGAGTTTAGCTGAAACATTATCATGTCTATCAAATTTGCAGGGGAATGAATTATTTGCATGAGAATAAACCAGCACCAATTATTCACCGTGATCTTGAACCTTCGTGAGTTCTTTTTCAACATGATATTGTCTTTCCTAGGTAAAATATTTGTCTGCCTCAGTTTTCTGATGTTAGCTCCTTTCTTTGTTGCTTACTGGGAAGCTACCAGAAATATATTGCGGGATGATTCTGGACATCTGAAAGTTGCAGACTTTGGAGTTAGCAAGTTGCTTACAGTCAAAGAAGATAGACCCCTAATTTGTGAAGACGCTTCGTGTTAGTGCCGCTTCTTTTCATGATCTTCCTATACTCATTTCATTTGAAATTCATTGCTAAACTGTCATTTCTTTCCAGTACCATTATGTAGAGTTACTTTCTCTTCATTGATTAAAATTGATCTGTAGTTTATCATATTAGCTGAAGTTAAAATTGTAGGTTTTAGATTGTAAGTGAAATATTATTTGTCATCAACAGGTCGGTACGTGGCTCCAGAGGTTTTCAGAAATGAAGAGTATGATACCAAAGTAGATGTATTCTCATTTGCTTTAATTTTACAGGAGGTAAATTCTATTATTCTTTACCAGTGGACTTAAACAATGCAGAAAGAGTTGACTGTTTGTTTGATAGGTATCATTATCTTCATATGCAAATTAATGTCTTTGGAATTGAGGCTAACATCATCACTCAGTTGTTTTAAATAATTAGTTCTAAATTCTAATAATATTTCCCCCACAAATTGATTAATTAATTTCACCTGACATTTCTTCCTTTCCATTCCATATTATATTTGTACAGTATTAAGTTAGAAGTTTGTAAAAGGCTTACTGGTTGTGATTAGAAACTTTTAGCCACTTAAAGGTTCCTTTGCCTTCTATAAAATTCTTTTATTTATTTATAGTTTTCTTTTGGATGAAGGTAGAAGCAGCTGTTTTAAGGTTCTGAGCCTTATGGCTTATGTTTTTGCTCATGATGATTCCATTTAGAATAATTCATGTTTTTGTTATGCTGTATCAGATGATTGAAGGTTACCCGCCGTTTTGCATGAAGCAAGATGATGAAGTACCTAAAGCATATGTTGCTAGAGAGCGTCCACCTTTTAAAGCTCCTGCAAAGCGTTATGCACATGGACTTAAAGAGTAAGTTCTACATATATTGTTAGATGCACATTCTAAGTTGTACTTAATACTTTTATGATAAATAACATGGCTATGTTCTAGCTTATTTTTTCAACTTTCTATAGAGAACATTTTTTTTTTTTTTTTTTTGGTTTTATAGATCTGCATTTTGTTATTCATATTATCTGTCATAAAAAAGATTTTGAAATGAAATTTTTTTTATGCTAGTTGAAAACTTCATTCTTGTTTTCTAGTCTATGGTTTAAGAATCTAAAAACCTTATTTCTTAGTTAAGTGTAGATGTGTACGTTGACCTAACTATTTAGAATGGTGAACAGTCAGACACAATTAACAAAAACTGGGTTTCTCTTCTTATTCTGCATTATTTGAAAGAAGTTGAGGCAAAATGTAGAAGTAGACTTCACTTATAAGATCGTTTATCATGATTATGAATAGGAGATTGAGCTGAAATTAATAGCCTAAATCTTCATAAGTAAAAGAAAGAAAAAAGTTACGTTTAGATCCACGAGGACTTTGAAACCATGCCAAAAGGAAAAAGGAAAAGATGTAAAGCATGGACATAATTTATATTTCTTATTTTCTGCTGGAAATCATGGACTCATAAACTTAATACTGCAGAACTATTTTTCGCTTTTTTTTCTGGTTCATGAATGCTTTCTTTGCTCTCTCATACAGTGTAGGACATCATAAATGTAATTTATATTTCAGGATGTATGAGATTATATAGAGTTCAATATCTAACTTATCCTAAAGATAAACATGTGCCAGGCAATGCTTGGACGCCCTTAGCTTTTTGATAAATATGGTGATGTCATCTGTACAAAAATCTGTGCTCTCTGTATATCCTTATCTATTTAAATTTCCTGGAATGCAAATCCTTAGTGGTTTCATAACTGATTTTTTTTTTTTTTTTTTTTGTTCTGAAAGGTTGCTTCATATACAAAAAATGATTTGTGGGCTATCAATGGAAGTTGATTCTATTCATGTCTTCTGCTTGCAGGTTGATTGAAGAATGCTGGAATGAGAAGCCAGCTAAGCGACCGGCATTCAGGCAAATAATAACAAGACTGGAATCCATTAATAACAGTATTGGTCATAAAAGGCGTTGGAAGGTCTCTCTCTCTCTCCTCTTTCTCTCTCAGTGTGTGTGTGTGTGTGTGAGTATTCTAATGACTCCTGATATCATACTTTACCAGTGATATGAACCACATTTCTCTTGAATACTTAAACATTGATGAAAGCAAACATTACTAAAATCCAGTATCCTCTTGATACATACATATATATATATATATATATGCTACCAACTTAACCTTCATCTGTTGTTGTTATGGGCTGTTTAGTGTGTTCTGATTGTCTCATTGGATGGTCAATGTCTTTTTTCATTTTATTATATTATTGTTTCAACTACTCATTTGGTGATCTGACGGACTGTTTCAAGTAAATTGTTTTGCTAATTAGCTTGACCTCTTGGGAACAGGGGAATTGAACTAGTAGGTTACTATTATAACTAAGAAAACGTCTTTGTTTAATTGTCACATATACAGGTCAGAACAATGAAATGCTTTCATAATCTGGAGGCCCTTCTGAAGAAAGATCATTCCAGTCCTAGCAGCCGAAGTAATTCATCTCGTTCAACTAGGAGCATATGAAGAATTGAGGATCGATATTTTATCTATTTTGTGAGTTTGCCGAAGTTTTCCTTTTCCAATTGGGTAGCACAAAGATTGGTTTTCTCGGGGTGGTGGGTGGTATAGCTTCTTATTTCCGAAATTCCACATGTATGTAGCCAATGAAAATTCTCATCCAGATTTTTAGCTTCCCCTTTGAATTTCTGGGGTGAGGATCATATTTGTACAATGTATTGCTTTAACAAGTTTAAAAATTTATAGCTCTGTACATTATGTGCATATTCGCGATCTTGAATTTCATCGGTGTTTTGGAAATCCATGAATGTATGGCTTATTCCCTTTCTGTTTGTAATGTGAAAGCTAGTGATGCAGTGATGACTAATCAGCAGGACAGGTTGTTTGGATTGAAATAGTCAATTATTTTGACGTAATTTGTGGCTTTGTGCTGTGATTTCCTGTAATCTTATCACTCAATGCTGGATGCACATTTCTCACGATATATTCAAATGTTATGATGCAATCCAGTTGTGTTTAATTTTATACAGCTTAACACCATTGAAGTAGAACCTTATCTGCATAATTATTTCTGGAATATATAATGCTGCCGCGGTGGAGTCAACCTCTTGTTTCCTTCTTCAAAATAAAAATCAGATTTTGTTATGGCTTCTAAATGCTCTACTAAAATAGTTTCGATTCTTCGTTCAAATCAGTGCTTTCACTGATTATTGCACTGATTACTCTACTAATCAGACCCAGATGGCAACCAAAAAAAAAAAAAAGGGCAAATAATTTCTCTCTTAACCCATATATATTCAAGGTATAAAATAAAATATAGAGATTTTATAAAGAAATTATTTGATAAGGATTATTAGGTGTATTATTCAAGAGGTCTTAAATTTGAGTTTTTTCTTGGTTGTTAATAGGAATTGCCATTATAATTTTTATTCGACTGATAGTTTTATGGTCTTGAAAGATTAGTTGACGTTAGGGCTGTGCAAAAAAATCCAATATCCGATCCTAATCCGCTCCGAAAAAATCGGATATCTGAAAATTCGGATCGGATACGGATCGTAATTTAAAAAAATCTGAATATTCGGATCGGATACCGGATCGGGATTGTTAAAAAATCGGATATCCGTATCCGATCCCGATTTTGCTAAACTACGTCGTTTTGAGTTTTAAAAATTAAAATAACCCTAACACTAACAGTCTAACACAATTAAGTCAACTCTCTCACTCTCTGTCTCTCTCGCTCGAATACGCAGTCACGCACAGCCTCTCATAGTCTCACTCTCTTAGACCAGATCTCGTCTCAGTCTCTCACTGTCTCTCTCGCTCAAACACGCACAGCCTCTCATTCTCTTAGACCAGATCTCATCTTAATCTCTCACTCTGTCTCTCTCGCTCAACTCTCTGACTCTCTCGGTCTCTCTCGCTCGAACACGCACAGACACAGACACACAGTCAGTCAGCCACTCAAACTCTCTCAGACTCAGATCTCAGTCTCTCTCGCTCAACTCTGTCGGTCTCTCTCGCTCAACTCTGTCGGTCTCTCTCGCTCGAACACGCACGGCGGCACAGACACAGACACAGACACACAGTCACTCAAAACTCTCTCAGACTCATCTCAGTCTCTCTCGCTCAACTCTCTCGGTGTCTCACTCTCTCTCGCTCGAACACTCTCAGATCTCAGTCTCTCTGACGATTGAAGCCCCAAATCGATTGTTGTCACAGGAGCATTTCTGCTCTTTGGGTTTCCTCTGTGCTGCTTATGTTTGAAGTTCATTGAAACTGCTTGCATCTTAGATTATTATTATTGTTCACTTTGATGTTGTTCCTATGAAATGTGACACATTCTAACTGGTGATGGATTGCATATGTCCTTGCAATATGGCTTTAGAGCATTATTAGCCTTAAGGATTGAATTATTTGATTTTAATAAGAAAATCTTAAAATTCGGATCAATTTCGGATATCCGATTATCCGATCCGAATAATTGGATATCCATAAAATCGGATATCCACATAATTTAGATCAGATTCGGATCAATATATAACCTGATCTGAAAATTCAGATCAGATCAGGAAAAGCCCTATACCCGAATTTGAATAGCCCTAGTTGACGTAGGTTCAATCATTATTCATTAAGAAGAAAAAGAAAAAGATTGTTTTGAGGACGGGACAGGACACTAATAATTTTCTTGAAAGCATTTTGGGCCGGCCTGACTGAACACTAACAGTAACATGTACAACTATCATTTTAGAAGCTAAGATATACAGTAGTATGGTACAATGTGAAATGAGTTTGGCTGAGTTGTCTTTTTCTTGGGAAGTGACAAAATCATTTTGAAACTACCAACCTTATAAATGCAACAATTGATGTAATCTAAGTTGTATTTTCAGGAAGATTTAATCGACCAATAAAATAATTGCACTTGTTCTAAATGTTAATACCAAATTCTGAAATTGATTGCAATCATGTGACTGACCATTATACTCCAAAGAATATATGTTCAATTATCTTTTGTCTTTCTCATAGAAGATGGTGACAATTCCATCATTTGGGTTTACTTTGAATTTGGGTGAAGCAAATTTGGTCATATTACTTTTGAAATCTGAGTTTTCAATTCACATGGGTCTGTTTGGTTTTTGGCATTCTTTCTTTAACAAAAACTTGACACTCTTCATTTTCTTGCAATTTACCCTTTCTCTAAAGAGCAGAAACCTTCATTTTTTTTTTTTCCACCATTTGGTAAGTAAAAAAGACTCCATCATTGGGAATATTTCAACTAAAAAAAATAAAAAATCATTTTACACTTTTGGGAACTTTTTCTTTTCTTTTCTAGTTCATGATAACATTTAACATTGGTGTTAATTGGAACCCATTTAAGAAATAAAAAGGATACTATTTAGAGGGAGAGGTTGAAGAAAAAATGAATTGAGAAGAAAGCAATTACATGAAACTAGAAACTGAAAAAATAATAATTACATTAAACCTGCAATTGCAATTTGTGAAAGTTAGATGTATTGATGATGTGTCTCCTTGGTTGAGACAAATTGTGTGTGGAGACAGGAATATATTTTACTCATCAAATACAATCTAAATTGAAATTGCCAATACTTGCAAAGAACATTACCTACTTTCTCAAATAAATAATTTTTTTAAAAAAAAAAAAATTAGTATTTGTGAGTAATAAAAAGAGATGCACCTACGAAAATTACAGAAAATAAAGATAAGGAATTGACCATTTATGATAAGTAAACATGGAACTGTCTTTAAGTGACCGAGTAGTTCGATAAGAACTTTTAGGTGTATTATTCAAGAGACCCTAAGTTTGAGTATTTCCTCAGTTGCTAATAGGGGTAGTCACTAGAGCTCTTACCCAATTAATAGTTCTAAGGTTTAGGGAATTAGTTGAAGTACGCGTAAGCTGGTCCGGACACCCCAGTCATTTAAAAAAAAAAGAAAAAAAAAGAAGAGAGAGAGAGAGAGAGATGCCCTTGAATGAGAATTCTAATTTGATATAATTAAAAGTATAAATAAATAAAAATATTTCTAATGATCCCCTTTTGATTATTGCTTTATACAAATAGGGAAATCCATGGTATTTTGAAAAAAAGGTTTGTCATTAATTAAAGTTTTCTGAACTAAGAATTATTAAGTGCTTTGAATTGAGCTAGGTCCACAGTACAGCTAAATATAAATTCCTCATGTGGTCAGTTATGTGATTAATTGGAATAATAATAGATTAGTTATAGCCATTAATTTAAGTTGCCTTTCTTTGTTAACTAACTGTTATACCAAATCTCTTATTGTTAGATATGGTCTCTTGGTGTATTACTCAGAAGGTCCTGATTTCAAATCTTTTTCGGTTACTAAAAAGGGTAGCCACTGAAATTTTACCTGGCCAATAGTTCCAAGAACTGAAGAGATTAGTAGAGGTCCACATAAGCTAGCCCAGATACCCCTGATCATAAAAAAAAAAAAAAAAAAAAAAAAAAAAAAAAAAAAAAAAAAAAAATCTCTTATTAATGTTCGATATAATCAAACATAACCCACATGTATAACAAAGTTATATTTGCATATTTTCTTCAATTTTTTTTTTTTATAAACAACTTTCGAAATATGAATTTAATTTTCCTTATGCATAGTCCATTTAAGTTAGAGTGTTTCTCAATTTTTTTTATAGTAAATATAAAAACCCACTTTATTTTCTGTCATTATGTATCTTTAATCGATAAATGAAACCTTAATTTATAAGAAACGTGTATTGGATCGATAAACAACATCACCTAATTTAACAAAACCTAAAAGAAATAAAAAAAAACATATCAATAATAATAATCATGGGAAGGGAAAGCAAGTAAGAAAATAGTTTAAACATGATTAAACAAAAAAGTGAAAGAAAAAAAACCCTAAATTACTAGATAGAGTAAGCATCAAACATTATAAAATCCTCTTCTCCATTCATGAATATAGAAGGCTTTTTCAATCACTCTTATTAGACTTTATGGAAAGTAATTTCCCCAATTTGGAGATTTCAAAACTTGCAAGGCAATCGACTGCTTTGTTATTTTTAATTTTTTTGCAGTTAAGTTCCATGTGAGACTTGCTAGGGAAATAAAATTCCACGTGATTTAAATTGGCAACATTAAATCTCCTCCATAGACAATAAAGGAAAGAGACAATGAACTAGACATTGTATATATCAAACTTGAGGGTTCATTATCAACCACAATCTCTGTGATTATGTCTAAATTAATAACCAATGAGGAAATGTGGATTCTGCATGCTCAAATATTGCAGCCGGTTATGGGATTAATTCAGTAATGGTGTCACACATTCACTCTACTAAAATGGAATTCCCAAGTTATAGTTACCTTAACTTCTTACTTAATTAGAGAAATGTACATATATATGTTATACACCATTCAAACCCAGATTTATTTCAGGATCACGTTGGATATTGAGATAAGAATGTGATATAAAATCTCATAGTACTACTACCGGATGGAAAAAGGAGCCGGGATTAAGTTACCACGGGATGGCTCGCCGGGGATGTTAAAATATTTTCCCTGCGCGCAGCGTTCTATATAGACATTATAATTATTCATATAAAATCTTCGCCGGGGATGTTAAAATCTCATATAGAGTTGATGTGGGTGAAATCGTGATGAAGAAATTGATTAATGAGGTTATGTGTAAGTGGGGGAGTTGGGAAATAAATGAAGGAAGAAAGGATGGGGTGGCAGCCTTATTAAACATGTGAATCCACATGAATATATGAGCAAGTAGATGGT